TCGATTCCTCCGTTCCTCTCGAAGAGCCCAGCAAGCTACCGAGAGTATCTTGCCCGCACAGCAAAGCCGGGCGAGCTACCCATGATGTATTCGATATACCAAACACAGTAACAACAAATCTCACAATGGAGATGTTACTGGACCTGCTCGAGCAAATTAATGAACAACGGGAGGACACTGCTACAGTGACTTATGGATGGTGCTAGGAATTGAGTGTAAGACTTTATGCTTTCAAAACATGTGCTCTACCACTGAGCTATATCACAGACTTGGGGATGTGATTTGTTGGGATAATTGAGCAAGAACATCTTAAAGAGTTTATAGCATCAAAGTAAAAACTTGTAGATTAAAAAAGAAATCACAAATGTAATATATGATTAGGAAACTGGTAAAAAAATTTCTGCTTGCATGGTAGAAAATATGTCATTGTCACTGTCCTCCTGTTGTTCATCAATTTGCTCGAGCTGGCCCAGTAACATTGTGAGAGTTGTTACTGTGTTTGGCATATCGAATACGTCACGGGTCGCTTGCCAGGCTTTGCTGTGCGGGCAAGATACTCTCGGTAGCTTGCTGGGCTCTCCGAGAGGGGTGGAGGAATCAAACTCGGGTCGGCCATATTGGCTGCATGCAAGGTAAACGCCCTACCCGCTGTGCTATCGCTCCTGCCCGGAAGAAAATATAGTTTTTTAAAAATAATCTTTTATATGTAAGAGCACTAGATTTTGTGAAAACAAAAACACACTTATACATTCAAGTAACCTAAATATAAAAACAAGCATATGGAAAAAATATTCAGCTTCACTGGTAATCAGAAGTTTCTGTGTGTGTGCATGTGTATATGCGTGTGCGTGTGTGTGTGTGCGTGTGTGTACGTGCACTTTTCAGGAGAACTGGAAAAAATTTTCAAAAGAGAATACAGATAGAAAATGCATATTTTGTTACATTTAAGGTCCTGGTGAAATAGCTCACATGTCTGTGGGAATGATGAGGTATCTTTAGCTAAGCCAGCTTTTCTTGAGGGCCATTTGGATCCCTAGTTTAAAATAATGTATCTTCAATAGCCAGGATCTGGAAAACACCTAAGTGCCCGAGAACAGATGACTGGTTAAAGAAACGTTGGTGCATCTACACAGTAGAATACTATGCAGCTGTTAGAAAAGATGAAGTCATGACATTTTCATATAAGTGGATCAACGTGTAAAGTATCATGCTAAGTGAAATGAGTCAGAAAGAGAAGGACAGACATAGAAGGACTGCACTCATTTATGGAATATAAAGTAACAGAATGGGAGACTAACACCCAAGGATAGTAGAGATAAGGACCAGGAGGATTGCTTGGAAGCTGGCCTCACATGCTGGGAGGGGAAAGGCAGCTCAGATAAAGAAGGGATCACCAAGTAAGGGGTGCTTGGAGGGCCCGCTCAGGATGGGAGATGAGTACTGAAAGTAGACTATAGACCGAACATGATAGCCAACCACAGCACCCTAAAGGAGAGAGAATAAAAGGAAATGTGTCTGCCACAGAGACGGGATGGGGGGGGATGGGGTGGTGGTGGTGGGAGGGTTACTGGGAACATTGGTGGTGGAGAATGGGCACTGATGGAAGCGTGGGTACTTGATCATTGTATGACTGAAACGTAAGCTCGAAAGTCTGTAAGTCTGTAACTGTACCTCACGATGATTCAATAAAAAAAATTAAAATAAATAAATAAAAACTGTCACTGTCACTGTCCTCCCATTGTTCATTGATTTGCTCTAGTGGGCCCAGTAACGTCTCCTTTGTGACAATTGTACTGTGCTTGGCATATTGAACACATCACAGGAAGATCGCCAGGCTTTGCCGTGTGGGCGAGATACTCTCAGTAGCTCGCCAGGCTCTCCGAGAGGGGCGGAAGAATCGAACTCAGGTCGCCAGGGTCGGGCGCATGCAAGGCAAACTCCCCACCACTGTGCTATCGCTCCAGCCCAAATAAATAAAACAAGACCAAGAAAAAAATGTATCTTAAAAATGTATCTTTTTTGAGAAATTTATTTAGCCTCAGAGCAGAATGGGGGCGGGAACGATAGCACAGTGGTAGGGCGTTTGCCTTGCACACGGCTCACCTGACCGACCCAGGTTCAATTCCTCCACCCTTCTCCGAGAGCCCGGCAAGCTACTGAGAGTACCTTCCTGCACGGCAAAGCCTGGCAAGCTATCCGTGACGTATTTGATACGCCAAATATCGTATCAAGAGATCTCACAATGGAGATGTTACTGGGCCTGCTCAAGCAAATTGATAAACAGTGGGAGGACAGTGGACAGTGGACAGTGGACAGAGCAGAATATAAGTGTAACGATCATGTAATGGTGTATACCATTATGTTGTTAGATATTGAGAAGCTACCAGTAACTTAATGCACAAATCAGAAAGGCCTTCCTTCTAATGCCTATAGTATAGCATATGCCTGTCCCTGTGGTGAAGGATTTACTAGCCTTTATGAAGAACATTATGTGGCATAAAAAATGATCCACACAACTGAGTTGGAATTTTAAAGGGAGGGACGTTGGGATCCTTGAAGGAGGGAGATGGGTACATTGGTGATGGATATGGTATTGGAATTATACGCATAAGAAACCATTATTAAGAGTAGTGTAAATCACATAATCTGAATCAGTTAATAAATAAGTCACCCTTAGGCAAAATAGACATAAGGTGTGCAAGGAGGACTCAGATTTGTAGGAAAGAACCCGACAGTTTCACAATTGAGTAAATATTTATCAACGCATGTAAAGAAAGAACCCTGTGTTAATAGTGACTGGTGGATATCTGGGTGCGTTGTTTTACTTTCTGCTTTTGCTTTTATAGTGTCTGGGATTAAGCATGTGTTTCTTTAGGAATGACGTGATATGTGATTTAAAACAAGTTTATCACAAAAGCAGAGCAAAACTAATGTAGAGTTATCATTATTAGGCCAGATGTAAGCTGTAGTTTTTCTGGAGTTGGAAACCTGAAGGTGGAGATCACAGTGACTGAAGGGATGAGGAGGGCTTCATGGGGGCTATGTGGGATGCCTGGGAGCCAGGAGCTCTGGAACTGAAGCCAGGCTGGCCAGAGATGGACCTGGGAGTGACACTGAAATCAGGGCTTCAAGGAGGAGAAGGATGTAAGCAAATGAGGAGGACACTTGGGCTAAGAAGGTTTTAGGAGGAAATGAGTAGCATATGCAAGGCCTCCAAGGGGATAGGTGAAGGCCCTCATCTCAAGCCCTCATGCCTGCTTGAGAAATCTGTAGCACTGAAACACTGTCCTCCTGTTCTTCATCAATTTGCTTGAGCGGGCACCAGAAATGTCTCATAAACAATCGTGAGACTTGTTACTATTTTTGGCATATCATAATACTTAATGGGTAGCTTGCCAGGCTTTGCCATGTGGGCAAGATACTCTCGGTAGCTTGCTGGGCTCTCCGAGAGGGGCGGAGGAATCGAACCTGGGTTGGCCCTGTGCAAGGCAATGCCCTGCCCGTTGTTCTATCGCTCTAGCCCCTGCTTGAGAAAATAATTTTAAAAATGGATATAGCTAACGATGAGAGGAGAGTGAGCAGCGCTCTAGTGGGAGGGGGAAACAAGATCCTAGTCATACCCCTTTATGAAGTCTGTGCTAAGTTATTAAGTCATGTAGATTTATCAGAAGGCGCCCCTGAGGATTTTAAATATGTGGAAGAAATCCTTGGAATGGTACTAAGGAAACCTGCTCTGGTTACAGTGTTGAGAACAGCATGGCCAACTCAGCCCAGGTTACACAGGCCTGAAGGAATGGGAATGGAGAAGGGTACATGATTTTGAGGATGCATTGAGGTCACTGTCGCGGTCCTCCCATTGTTCATCAATTTATTTGAGCAGGTCCAGTAACATCTCCATTTTGAGACTTGTTGTTACTGTGTTTTGGCATATTGAATATGTCACGGGTAGCTTGCCAGGCTTTGCTGTGTGGGCGAGATACTCTAGATAGCTTGCTGGGCTCTCCAGGAGGGGCGGAGGAATCGAACCCAGGTCCTCTGGGCTGGCTGCACCTAAGGCACATGCCCTACTGCTGTGCTATCGCTCAACCCTTTCAGAATACAAGAGGAAACCCCAAAACAGAAGTCAAAAATAGCCCAAATTAGAAAACTCCGAACCAGAAAGACTGGGAAAGTCAAAATCACCCAGGTGGTCACTGCCAGTTTAAAAAGGTGCAGGGGGCTTACCCAGGAGAGCAGCAGAGGGCTGAGAAAGGGGTGAGACATTTGAGGGGCAGCCAAAGAGAGGCAGAGGGAAGTATCACTGGACTGCAAGAAAACAAGTTAGGCAGATGCTGAGGGCACTCAACAGGGGATCCAGAATGGGAAGTCATCCATGTTGATGGTGGGAGGATGAGTGGAAGAAGAGGATACATCCTGGTGGGTTATCCTGTGGAATGTTCAGAATATAGAAAGGAATACCCTGGGAGCCATGTATGACTCAGCACCAACTGTCACAAAGTGCCACACACCTGGTAACCAGCAGCCATGAACTTGACATTCTGGGGGCTGTGTCCTCTCAACAGTTCTTTATGCCTTGGAAACTCTTTGTGTCCACATCTTTGTGTGCCACTTTAAAAAGGACACAAAGGACACCAGTCAGAGCGATGGAGCTCACCCTGATGGTCTTATATGGACTAGTTAAGGTCCTGTCTCCATACAGCACATTCTGAGGTAGACTTAGGGCTTCGTCCTATGGAAGGAAGATGAGACAATTCAGCCAGGGCAAGAATAATTCAGGTGCCAAGAGGATCCCAGACCCAGCCCCCAGCTCTGAGACAGGCCACACTGTGATGGGTGGGAAAAACCTGTGCCACAATTTCTATATTGCTTGGTGCTAAGTGTGCAGGGGAGAGAGCTCCCAGGGAAAGATTGCCTCCCCGCCTAGGCAGTGGGGAAAGATGGGGTTCTGATTTGCCCCCACAGGTGTTTTTCTCCTAATACCTCTCTCTGCTTCCCCACAGCCTGTAACTGTAACCTGCATGCCAGACGCTGCCGTTTCAACATGGAGCTCTATAAACTGTCTGGACGCAAGAGTGGGGGTGTCTGTCTCAACTGCCGCCACAACACTGCTGGCCGCCACTGCCACTACTGCAAAGAGGGCTACTACCGGGACCTGGGCAAACCCATCGCTCACAGGAAGGCCTGTAAAGGTAGGCAGGGGCTGGAGGTGGGGAGGTGCCAGCTCCCAGCCCCACTTTACCTGTTCTCTCTCTCTCTCTCTCTCTCTCTCTCTCCTCCCTCCTTCTCTCTCTTTCTCTCATCCCTCTTTCATCTTTTTCCCTCCCTGCCTCTCTTTTCTGCCCTCCACCTCCCAGTCTCTCTGGCATTTGGAAGTGTAAGCTGAAACAAAGGGCAATGGAGAAATGACTCCAAAGAGAAGAAAGGAGAAGGTGTGATCCTTCCGACGTGCAGGGCCCTTGACCTGCTTCATCCCCCCTCCCCCAGTTACCCCCCCCTTCTCCACACAGGTGTGCTGCATACCACAGGGCGGGGGTCATACTTAGCAGGCTCACCCTTTACACAAAGGACTCTCTTTCACCAAAACCCAACAGATGTATTTCTCTGGATGTGTGTGAGCCCCCACTCCGCCCCCCTGGCCTCCAACACTCATACAGACATGCACAATCACAGTCACAGAGAGGTTGGCAGCTTCAGGGGCAGTGTCTCAAAGGAACATTTAATCCACCTGAAAATGGCTTTTCTTCACAGCACAAAAAATCTTAAAGGGAGACAGGAGACTCTATTTTCGTTCACTGAAGCAAGCACTAATGTTTTAACTTTCTGTTGTTTGTTTTCTCCCACTAACAAAAATGAAGCAGTGGTTAGATGACTCAGGAGTTGATGAAATGCTGAAATGCCAGAAAATTTGGTGACATTTTAGGGGAGTGGGAGCCTCTGTCCCACATTAGCCTTTTGGGAATTCTGGGAACTAGGACTGCTTTCTGGTTCCAAAACTTGGGTCTAGATCCAGATCTTGTTTTGAGCATGACTTCCTAAGTAAATGTTTATCTCTGAGGGCTCCTGGGCCACAGTCAAGCATGGATGGAATCCTGAGACAGACCTTCCACAGGGGAGACCCAAGCCAGGCAGGTCTATGTCCAGAGAATGAGCAGCAGTCAAGGAAAACTTCGTGGCTGTGGTTAAAACTTAAGTATCATCTTCTCAATAGGAAATCCACCAGATGTTGGTCACTTGTGTACAGAACTGATTACAGAATTTGTGGGCCCTGGTGCAATATGAAAATACGAGTCTCCTTGTTTCTCATTGCTAACAATTGAAAATAGTCGTTGCAGATCAAGCATTGGTCTTTTATTGTTGGGCCCATGGAACTGGCCCTGTCTGTGAGAAAGTTTTCTCCAAACAAAATAAAGAATAACAGAGGCCTGAGAACAGCAGGTGGGGAAATTGCCTTGCACGTGGCTGACCTGGATTAGATACCCAGCACTTCATCAGAATGCTCTGACTACCACCAGGTGGAAGGAAGGAAGGAAGAAGGAAGAAGGAAGGAAGGAAGGAAGGAAGGAAGGAAGGAAGGAAGGAAGGAAGAAAGGGAGGGAGGGAGGGAGGGAGGGAGGGAAGAAAGAAGGAAAGAGTAAGAAATGAAGGAGGGAGGGAGGGAGGAAAGACAGACAGATGGACCACATAGAAGGAAGGAAGGACCACAAGAAACACCTCAGGTCCCATTCGGCCTCTATATGCAATTCCATGTATTCCATATCAGTTGGTTTTAGATAGGATGGGTCCAAAGACAACAGCAAATTCTCTCTCAAGATCTGTATATAAGCTACCTCTGGCAGAGGCAACGAGAAATTGAAGCATAGAGGTGGCTACACTATTTCCACATGAAAAACAAACAAACAGGGGAAAAACTGGTCTGGTGAGAATTCCACAAGAGACTTTGAGTGGGAAAAAGTAATCCATGCAGAGACCCAGAACCATCCATGGTTGTGGGAAAGATTGACCACGTGGAGATTTGGGATTTGAGAGAATGTAAGTGGAAAGTATCCAAGTTCTCCTGTGCCTGTTTGTTTATTGTCGTTCTTTTTTTGTTTTTGTTTTTGTTTTTGTTTTTGTCCCATACTCAGTGGTGGTCCTCGGTACACTTCCAGTTCTGTTCTCAAACCCTGACTTTTTTTTTTTTTTTTTGCTTTTTGGGTCACACCCGGCAATGCGCAGGGGTTACTCCTGGCTCATGCACTCAGGAATTACCCCTGGCGGTGCCCGGGGGACCATATGGGATGCTGGGAATCGAACCCGGGTCGGCCGTGTGCAAGGCAAACGCCCTACCCGCTGTGCTATCCCTCCAGCCCCAAACCCTGACTTCTTGCATGCAACTCCTGTAACTTTGCTTTTGAGCTATTGCATTGAGGTGTATCTCCAATCTTACCATTCCATTTTCACTGAAGAAATTGAAGCCACAATTTTGTAGATAGCTGGTTACATGTAGATTTCTTGGCATGTCGATTCCTACCTATGAATAATAATTCCGAACTCTGTGGAAGGATCATTTCCTTTTATGCCAGTTTCTGATGTCAGAGCAGGAAGTGGCAGAAGGTTTCTGGGAGCTTGAAGAAGCCAAGTCCTTGTTATTCGGCATTCACCTCTCATTCCTCTCCTCTGTTGCTGTGAGCAGAAACGAGGGACCCTGTATCTCATTCTACCACTCAGCCTAAATGGTGTGAAGGGTACACCAGGATCACTGGGTTGGTTTTCATGAGGAACAGCAGCTGCAGGTGAGAGGGTGCAATTCTATCTTTTTTATTTTAAGTGCTGTGCCCAATCTAGGAGGTTGTGTCTTCCCTTTCAACCTGGGCAGTAATTGTCCCCAGCCTTGGTGAGAGAACTCCCGGAAGAAGAGAAATGTAAGATGGTTTCTGCTCAGAAGAATATCCACATGCCTATCCTGCAGAAGCTAAGTGGAAAGAGTATGAATCTTTTGTTTGGGGAGGAAAGACGTTGCTTCAACAATCCTACCACCTGACTGGTGAGGAAAAACTTTGCCTGGAGGGTCCGGCTTCAAGATTGGTGAGAAAAGATATTGCCTGCCTACCTCAGGGTGCCACTCCAAGGTCAGGCACAGAAGACCTCCAGTAAAAGGCACTCCATTATAACACCCAAGAATGGCCAAGATTAGTACCAGGAATTTTACTCCATAGCTTGGAGGCCAGCCACACATGCTAGGGGAAAAGGGAGCCCAGATAGAGAAGGGAGCACCAAATAAAGGGTGTTGGGAGGATCCTCCCAGGATGGGAGCAGCATGCTGAAAGTAGACTATAGACCAAACATGATTGTCACCCATTGCCTCTTTTGCAAACCACAACATCCAGTAAGACAGAGAGAGAGAGAGAGAGAGAGAGAGAGAGAGAGAGAGAACAAAAGGGAATGCCCTGCCACAGAGGCAGGGTGGGATGAGGGGGATGGGGGGTGAGAGGGATACTGGGACCCATGGTGGTGGGAAATGGGCACTGGTGGAGGGATGGGTATTTGATCATTGTATAATTGAAGCCCAAGCACAAAAATTTGTAAGTCTACAATTGTACCTCTTGATGTCTCACTAATAGGAATTTAAAAAAAAACAATTAAGATTGTATAATCTTAAACAAAGAGATAGTTTTTTTACTCCTCTGAGTAGAGACCTATTCTTTCTTTGTGACCATCCTTTTTTTTTTTTAGTTTGACTAAAAAATATTATTTTTAATTAAAATGGGCTGGAGCAATAGCACAGCGGGTAGGGCGTTTGCCTTGCATGTGGCCGACCCGGGTTCGATTCCTCCACCCCTCTTGGAGAGACTGGCAAGCTACCGAGAGTATCTCGCTCGTATGGCAAAACTGTGACATATTCGATATGCCAAACACAATAACAAGTCTCCCAATGGAGACATTTCTGGGCCGCTCCAGCAAATCGATGGACAACAGGAGGACAGAGCTACAGGACAGTGCTACAGTGCTACAGTTGTTTCAGGCATGCAACGTTACAACACTAATCCCATCACCGATGTGAACTTCCCTCCCGCAGTGTCTTCAGTCCCCATTCCTGCCTCCAGCCTTCCCCTGTAGCAGATACAGAACAAATTTACTTCATATTGCTTGCTCCAACAAAACTCAAAGGAATGGAAAATGGAATAATCAGAAAATCAATCAGTGAAAGTCAATTTGTGATGATTGACTGCTGTATGGTTTTAACCTCCACTAGTTTGACTTCTTATCTTACAGACCTCATGGCTCTTTGGCTCTCTGCTAAATAGAGATTGACCCAAGGACAGGGAAATAGAGATTGACCCAAGGACAAGGGAAGATTCAGGCTGCTTGTAGTGAAGCTCTTGACTGCACACAAGGGAACCAGCCAGCATAGGTACTCCTGAATACTGGCCTGAGAACATTGGTGAGAGGCAAAGATGGGAAAGGAGAGACAGTTTAAGCAAAGAGGGGCAGGGAGATACTGGAAGCGGGCCAGCAGGCACAGTGGACATAACCTGCTTCACATGGGTTTCAGGTCTAATTATTATGTGACATCTCCACCTCGATGTGATTTTTCGTCTTCAAATGAGGGAGAGACATTGAAGGTTCTGCATCTAGCCCCAGCTTGGCATCAGCTGGTTCAGTCTGGTTGTCGTCTGTGGAGTTATTCTTTCTGATCAACATCTCCCTTTCTAACTGCTCAAAGATGGTAGCTTAGCCTTCTCTTTTGGGGTGGTAAGTGCAGAGCAGTGTACTTTGTGTTCTGATAGGGAGGGGGGTCTCAGACACAGCTTCCAGTCTACCTCAGTTACAACTCACATGGAAACACTACCTGCATTCTCAAAGGTATCACAAATTCGTTCTAAAAGATGGGCTGGAGCGATAGCACAGCATGCCTTGTGTGCAGCCGACTTGGCCCAGCCAGGTTCGATTCCTCCGCCCCTCTTGGAAAGCCTGGCAAGCTACTGAGAGTATCTCGCCCGCATGGCAAAGCCTGGCAAGCTCCCCGTGACGTATACAGTATGCCAAACACAGTAACAACAAGTTTCACGATGGAGATGTTACTGGGCCCACTCGAGCAAATCGATGAACAAGGGGAGAACCATGATGGTTCTAAAAGACATAGTTCGAAACCATACGTGGGGCCAGAAAGATAACACAGGGGGTAGACTCATGACTTGACTGCTGCTGA